TCTGGGGCTGTGCTCCCTCTGACATAATTCCCACAGTATTATTCTAATCACCTATGCAGCTTAAAAGTTTGTGACCTACTTTTCCCTTTTACCATCTGTTTCATAATTCCCCATCTAAATTTCCTCCTTTTTTTTCCTATTAACTTGAATCTGCAGGAACTACATATTCCTCATGACAACACTTATATTTTCAAATTTACCTCTTCAAATGTACCACTATCTGTGCTTAATCCTCATTGGCTTTCTGCCATTACCAGTTATTTATTGTAAAATATATTTTTATTTGCATTTTTTAAAAGACCTGGTGGATACCTATAACATGAAGGGACTAAATACCTCAGTTAAAGGTTGCTTTCAGTGACCTGTGTTGTGATTGTACAGATTAGTAGAAAAAGTTTAATTACAGGATTGAGGAGTTGTCTGTGAGAAACAAGAGATTCTTCCTGCTCTGATCTTAACTGTGAATAAAAGAAACTACATTAATCATTCATTTCCTTCAGGTTCTTAGATTATTAAGGGATCGAACCTCTTTGAAATAAATTTTACTGTCAAAAGCACAGAGTACTTGATGCAAAATAAGTAACTGTCTTTGCATGTTGCTACAATCATTGACCGTGGGATAGAGAGGGAGGATTCAGAACTTGCAAGGTTTATTTTTCTTAAATATTTTAACTTGACTAAATTGTATACATGTGTTCCTGCTTTTGAACAGAGTATTTTATATTATACCTTTATAAAGAACACTAAAACTAGCATTTCCCTTCAGCTCAAGAGATAGAACTTCTCCTCCTTGATATAACTAACATTCCTGAAAATCTTGGAAATTTGTTTCACAAGTCTGTGTCTCTGTTTCCTCAAGAGAAAAACAGGACAGTTCTTTTGGAAAATAGTTTGTGTTCTACCAGCTAAGATTACTTGGTGTTGTGTTTATTTTAAAAGAATAAAATAGGGTTTAATCATGACTAAAAAAGAGCTGCTAATTTTGAAGGATGGAACTGTGCAACAGCGTGTAGTAACTTCATGAATACTTCAATCTAGGAATTGAGAAAATAAAACTACTGAGGGATCTTAGAGAGATAAAATAGAATTACATGTTTTCAGTTTGTTTTTCTCGTTATGACTAACAAATCAAACCTAGCTCTGTAATACATGAGATTTTGATTTGTGAGCAGGGGGAGAAATGTCAACAGCTGCATCTGTGGTGTATTAGTATTGGTAGTTCTATTCTAGCAGTGGAGAGAGATTTTTTTAAAGCTAAAAATCATATAAGAGTTTACAGGTAATAACAGAACGTTACTCAACAACAGTAAGCCAGATTTCTTACAGAACATCTTGACAATTTTGTACTGTTACTTCTTCAACCTTACACTGTACAAGAGGGCTCATATCCAACTGTAAGATTCAAGATCTAATTTCTGTGACACAGGAGAAATTCTTTCAGCTTTTCAATGTTGTTTTTTGGCATAAAATAATAGAGGAAATTAATACATAAATAATTAAATTGTTATGTCCTGAAGCACATAGTTTAGCCAGGGTTCAGTAGCTGATTCTTTTTGTACTAATATCCATCTGGAATTTCAACACACATGCATTCTTTATGGTTTGAATTTTCGTGAATGGAAGAGAAAATTCATTCATTTTTCTGAGATGTTTCCATGTCAGGCAGCTAAACCAAGGGAGAGCTTTGACTAAGCTACCTGTCCTTCACACTGAGATATGGACTGATAGTCTTACTATTGAAATAGTCCAGATTGCCCACTTATTTGTCTGTATTGAAATTTTAAGACATAAACATAGACACGTAATCTTCAAAACTGTGGCAAGGTCTTAAAAATTTTCCCATAAAGGGGAAATTTTTCTGTTGCCTATAGAATGATATTATTTGGCTTCACATGATAAATCAAGATGCAAGAGTGTGTCCCTGATATGAGATATTCTTTTTCTTGGACTACAATGCAATTATATAATGTATGATTTTATATTGGTAATTGCAGCTGATTCATGTAACAGGGAGGTTAACTACAGAAGTGAATTCATCATCATCTCATGAGTGTCATACTCAGTACATAGCAGTGTCATTATTCTGAGCTAACATGTTTTGCTCCTTGTACTGAAAATACACTTCTGTAGTCATAAGTTAATTGCCTGGTTTACAATTTTTATCACTGTAATTGCAGAGTAATTATGCTGTGTTCAGTAGACTAATAATAAATTTAAAGTAACAACAAAAAAAAGTTTAGTATAATGGAAGTAAAGTTATCTGTTCTAAAGAAATAACTGCAATCTTAGAATAGTAGTTTAGGTCTTGGGATGGAGTATTTCTCAAATCCAGCCCACTCTCTTATTTTTGCTTTAAGACCTGTCACACGTATCCTTCTCATTTAGAGAAGCTCCTTTTTCAAGATAGGGTCAACTTTTTTGGGGTGTCTCTTGGAAAGTGACATGGGAAGAATCCCACCCAGTCTCTTTCTAGCAGTAGTTGTCAGGGGAGCCTTGTTCACGTCAAACCAAATGAGACAAGTGTACAGAATTAAATACAGATGGCACAATTCTTTCCTTGACAGAAGTAAAGCAAAGCTGACCTAGAAATGTTCCTGACTTAGGAGATGTATCCAGCTCCTCTTACTTAAAAGGAGACATTTAATATAAAGATCTTCCCTGAGGAAGAGGAAATATGTATAAAAGTAGTGGAATGCAATGGGGACATTAATATCCCTCACAAAACCACCAACATCTGTCAGCTATTAATTTCTTTTTAAAAATAACAGAAACATCATCTTGTAAAAGAGAGATTCCCAAACTGCCAGACCCTCATATTATGCCATTGATCTGCATCTTCTTAAGAGAATTCCCAGTATTGCAATATCATTGACTGGAGTATTTATTAGTGTGTTTGTGCATATTTGGCAGCTGTGAAATGGGTTTGGCACTTTTACGCATAAGCACCAAAGGAGAGTTGAACCCTCGGTTAATTGGCATTGTGACAATTATAAAAGTGCTGTTCTTGTGGAGGAAACAGACAGTTGATTTAAAGACAGTTAAAGCTGGGGCCCATCCTCCTCTATAGTCATTATTTAGATGGTAAGTTGGCAATGATTATTGTCTTTAGCAGAGGAAGGAAAAAGAGAAAAGAAACCACCTGTGCAGAAGAAAGGAAGTTTGTTAATGGAGCTTGAGGAAGTAGTAGAGCAATCTGGACAATAGAATCACTAGTGATTACAGGAACAAATGATGTCAATTCAAGTGGCATGGCAGCCTTCATTAATTCCAATGCACTATCAATATGCTAACTACCAAATTCTTTATCCTGTGGAACGACCCTGATGGAGCATAAAGCTTTTGTCTTCCTGGCATTATGTTTCTATACAAAACCCTCCAGCTACAGATCTGCACATTCTCCCAGATGGGCAAGGCTCACACTAACAAAGAGAGATTTCAGCTGTCACTGAGTGAATTGCCTTGCCAAAGCTGGTTGCAACTGTGTGGTGTGGGATTGCTGTTTACTGTTCATAAGAGCAAAGTCTACAGATTTTGTAACTCTTTGGAAACAACAATCTTCCAGGAGAATCAGGAATATCAACAGTTCTTTTACACTGAGAAAACAGATTGACTAATTTTATCTGATTCTGAAAGTACACAAACATGGTGGATGGGGTAGCATGATTTCAAATTGTAAAGTTTGTGTTCCATTTAGTAGGTTTAGATGATGGATGGGAACTGAACACAGTAGAGAAAACTAAAAGATAAAAATTAAGCATCCAAGGTAGGTCAAAAATTAATTTGATAGCACAGAAAAGTCAAAATAATAAATAGAGTGGATGGCGTGCATAAATCAGTCTCCATTTTTAGGTGTAATACAACACTATTAAAATCAGGACAAAACTGTTAGTTTGATATACAGTCAGCCCACTCAAGCTCTATCTTGTCTGTGGGGATTAAAAAATTCCTAATAGTCCTTTTTTCCAGGAGAATGCAGTGATATAAGGAGCCTCTAACAGTAAATTAGTTCAGAAACTTGTTTAAATATGCTCATTTACAGTACCCTGAGCTGCAATGCAGTCTTCCTGCTTCCTACAGAATCCTGCAGGCATGTATAAAACACTCTAGATCAACTTCTCAGCCCTCTTCCAGTGACAGCAGGAAGATCAGGTAGGCATCTGCAATAAATGGAAGAACATCCCTTGATGGAGGGACATTCTCTCATGCCTTAAAGCCAAAATAATCTCATAAGATGGCAGGGAAACCTATTGTTAACATGTGCCAGGTCATATGGCTTCTGCAGGGATCAGACACAATTCAGGCAGAAAAATAGATATCAGAGTTTCTTCCTTCACTTGTCACTGATTCTTCCTTCACTTTCCTTGTGGTATAACTAAAGTGTTGGACCAACTATTATTTAAGAACCTGATTCTGCCAAAATTATGTGTTAAATGAATGACAAGATATCCAAGAGCAGATTTCAAACTGTGGAATCAAACTACAGGATTAAGTAGATTTAAAAAAATAAAATGCTGCAAATAAACAGTAAAGAGATAATAAGTGTCAAAAGGGCTCACATCTAAAATGAGATCAGCACAAGTTTGTAATGGCAGTGGGAGCTCCACAGATTAGACCCTTTTCTTTCCATTCTGTCCCCTGCCTAAAGATACATTGAAGAAATGTCTAAGAAGGGAAATGAGGCAAGGATTGCATAAAGGGGGTGTGGAGTCTGAGAGATGGAACCAATCCAGAAAGATGTGATGAAAGGACATGAACTAAAGCCTATAAGAGAGTAGTGAAAAGTAGATCACTAGTAGTAACTCTTGCAGATGACTTTTTGAAAATTAAAACAACCTAGTTGGTAAAGAAAAAATGAATATGAGTTCTTAAAATAAATTGTTTTCTGGGCTTGCCAATACTTTGGATGTACAGCTTCAAATGTAAGAGTCTTCTGATAAAATCCACTTTTTACATTTAGAAGCCACGTTAAAATAAACGCATTCAGCTTGACAGGCACTCACCTTCTTCCTCCACTCTGTCTTGTGCTGTTTTGCAGTTCTTTTACTGCAACCCATCTGTGAGAAAAATAAATGCTTTTTTGGGGGGATAATTTGTCTTTTACATGTGTCAGAGACATTTACTATTATGGGCTTTTTTTGGTATATTTATAAGAAATTACAGTGCTTCATTAAGTAAATATAGGTATAACTATAAGCATGGTAAGTATACTTTAGACTAGTGTCTCAGGGAATATTTTCATTTTTTAATTTAAAGCCAGAAAACAATAACCACTGCAGTTTCCTTATTGTGATTATTTTATAATAAATACAGAGAAACCAAATCTTAATTTTTGAGCCATTTTGAACACTCCTGTGAGGAGAGTCAGAACTAGATTTTCAGTACTTTTGTCTTTTCACAATCCCATAAGCAGTTTTAATTTTCATAGTACAATTTAATATGCATTGAGATGACAGTATGCTTTTAGTATATTTGGTTACAGTTTTGGCTCAGATTACATATTTGGTTATTTTAAGATAAACTGATTTAGAGCTTCTTATATAATATTTAGTGGGGCAGAAAGAAGGCCAATCCTGTTAAACAACTTCTTGGTTGTTCAGGTATTCAGTCACAATAATGAGACCTGTTAAAATCTGTTTTCAATTCCTGAACTCGCATTCCCTCTTGTGTATGACTCAGAGGAATGAGTCAGTTTTGTATCCCAGTAAGGGCTAAATTATTTAGCACCACTGAAATAGCCCCATCAGGAGAGAGTGAGAAAAACAAAACATTTTGTCTTAGGTCTCCTTAAACCTAAAGGTCTGAACTGGATGTGCAGCTCTGGAGTTTCAAGCTCCTGCTTTGGATTCCTCAAGCAGCATTCCTATAGTGTTGCAGCCATTGTTGGTAACCAGTCTTTCTGTGTTATCCCATTTTCTTTGTGTACAGATGAGGCTGATTTTGTGTGTTAGAATTACACAATTTATTTTCTCAGCCCCCTAATATACTGTCTTTAAGCAATTCCTATGGGAAGTCTTATAAAGGTTCGCAGGATACCCTAGGTAAGGATAAGGACTTCACACCTTCCTTGAGCCAGCTGATTACCCACACTAGAAGGTGTCAAATAAGCTGCATTTTCTACAAAAGTGTCCTTTAATCATTTAGAAGGATAATTCTGCAGACACACCTTACCTTCAGAGATGAATGCTTGCTTGTTTAAAGCACAAGGTAGATATACAGCCCAAGTGGTTCCTTTTACTGGATCCTATATAAGGAGGAAAATTTCATGTCATGTATCATGTCACAAGATGACAACTTGTTTTGCAGTGGACATAGTTAGGCTTCCTTGAAGGTAACATTGCCATTGTCAAGACTGACTTTAAATCAAGATCTTGATGTGGCCCTGTAACCTTACTAACACCTCTCCAAGCCAGCGAGTTCACAGCACTGGATTAAGATTGATAAATATGTCCATTCCGAGCCATCTCTGATGAATACCTTCATGCTGCTTCAAATAATAACTTTTCCCTCAGTGGACCACAGAAAATGAGCTACCATAAAAGCTTATTGAAGAAACCCCACCATTCCTTCAATTCAAAACCTTAAGGGCTTCTAGCAGCAGTGCTGTAGATTCCCTTAAATCCTAATTACAGTGAATTAAATTACTAAAATGCTACTAATTACTTTTTAATTTCAAGAGAGATGTTTACAAAGCACAGTATAATGAGTAATACAGTACTTCAAATGATTACTAATGTTGCCATTTTGTCTGACTTAATCTCAATTAGTATAAATCACAATGTCATCATTGCTAATTGCTATTCCTTTTGAGCAAAATGCTAATTTCTTTTTACAATCATACAATTGCTGTTTGTTTTTCCCTTAAATTATTCCATTTAAGAGGCCCTGATAAAATGAGTGTTCAGAATATTTATTTTCTAGAGCTCAAGAAGAGGAAAGCGTGAACTGAGGCTTTTAGAGTTTATTTTTCAGTCGTTTTGTTTTTAAGTTCATTTTTTCCTATAATAAAAAAAGCTTTCATCTCTCAAATGAATCATCAAGCAAGATGTAAATTCCTATCAAACTGTATTTTCAAGGGATTTTGCTTGATTTACTGCCAGAAATTTACTTTATTATCCATCTCTGAAAGGAGGCTTTGAATCTTTTCTTCATGAGTAAAATGCTGTACCCTTGACTGTAGCTGTACTCTCACAAGTTTCTTACTGCACCTGTGAAAAGCTGAGTATCAACAGAGAAAGCTAAAATGATTTGTCTAAGGTCAGAGAATGCAAAAAGGGGCTGGCACAGCTGAAACCACCATGGAGCTCTTTATCCTACTTGTGCATTAAGTACTAGTGCATGCTCCTGCCCTCTAAAATTCTCACAGAATTAGATGTCAAATGTTTGTCCCCTGAACAGGTGTTGCATTGTAATACCAATGGATTTCTATTCTGGTGCTGTATAAATGAATGGGACAGCGCACAGAACTTTGGTCTTGTCATCTTCAGCATGGTTAAGTGAGGTCCACTCCCAGCCTTGAGCCATCAGAAATTACTAAAGCTCCATTTGTGTGCTTACCACACTGGTCTGTCTTCATGTGGGATCAGATTCAGTCATCTCATGGCATTTCCTCATCTTTCTCTCTCTCTATCACTATGGAAATAATTTGATCAGCAGGACCCATTAAACTAAATGGAGCTGGAAAGAGATGCTGAAGAGTGCCAGACTATGCTATTGCTTACTGTAAAACATCTTTATGCCTTTAGATCAAAATTAATACTCCAAGATCTAGTAGACTCTGCTACACTTATTTCTACAAATATGTGTGAAAGATTCACCTCTCTGTCCTGGGAGATGATGGAGCAGAATAGATCTAGTAAGCATGTACACCTTTCAACAGCCTTTTTTTGAGAAATCTGTGAAAGGAGTGTTCTAGACTATGCCCTTTCATTCCTATATAGACACACACAAGTCCTCTGAAAAGCTGGGTGTTGGTGGGCCCAGTATTTTTATTTCATTAAATCTTGGGTGCTTAGACATAACAATTGTAATAATTTTTAAGGCACATTTCAGGTCACAATTTCTCTGTCTTCCTAGAATGAGCAGAGAATTAATTTCTTATTTACTCCATATTTAGGTTTTAGGTAGAAAACATACCAGTGAAAGTACAAGTAGTACATTTTCCCTATGGTTTTCTTCTTGACTCTGCTTTGGACGTATTGTTAATACTGAAATTTCTATCTTGAGAAGGGTGACAAATCTGGAAGGCAGATTGTCCTTATGGCATTTTTAAGAATTCATTTCCCAAGTAGCCTAAAAAAGAAACAAAAGGGATGAACAGCACTTTATTCATCTCTCTGTTGATCGACTGCTGATTCTGAATCACCAAGAATAGTAGGATTTCTAAGGCAATTGATGTTGTAGTTTCCAGATAGGAATGCATTTGTTTGATTCATTAGTCTGGATACCAAATAGCTGTAATCAGATCTTTGCTAGCTGCTGCCACAAGCATGGTCACACAGGTGTCCTATGTTAAAAAAAAAAAAAAAAAAAAAAAAAAAAAACCCACACAAAAACCAGGAGCCAAAACACAGTTTTCCCTTCCCTTAAGTGTGAAAGGAAAACAGAACTCCAGATTACATCAACATAAGTACTCCTGCACCTGTGAAAATCAAAATGGGCAAAATTTAAGGCAGTCCCCACTATTTTAAGAAATTCCTTCAGAGGAATTTCAGTCTCAGATGGAGTATACAAATGCAGAGAGGTTTGTCACTCTCTTCAGTTTGAGCAGGCTGGGGAGCAAAGGAAATTGTAGTTGATCTACATAGCAATATTCTGTGCATTAAGAGCAGTCTTTTTTTCTCTCATGTAAAACTTTTCCTGTAAACTTAGTGACTCACTGTGGAGGCAGAAAGCTTTATTTTTTTTTCTCAGCCCTCATTATAATGCAGTCAAATTGCCCTTCAAGATATTTTTCCATGCTAGTGGCTGAACTTCAACTTTCACACCAGCATAGGCAATACCAGAAGGACCAAGTCACTGTTGATGTAAAGAGAAGGATTTAAAAAAATTGCTGTGTCTAATCATTTTGAATTTTTCAAGTTTGCACAATAAATAGACTAATCAATCTTCTAAGAAAACATGCCCAGAAAGAACTGCACTGCAGAATAAATAGCACAGGTTTTATTAGCCTTCCATTTTACTTACTAATCTCCTATCTGTAGCAGGTATCTGAAGGGCATAGTAGAGGTGACTAGTCACTCTCTTGAGATTCTTTACCTGTATTTTGATGGATTTTTTTTTTCACACAGTTTGGGGGAGTGAGTGAACATCAAGAGATTAGAGAGAAAACTGCATATTATTTTTATTTTATTTTGCAAAAATGTTTGCCTCTATTCCTGTTTTGTTTTGAGATTAAACCAAATATGTAAACCTGGTATTCCTATGGCAATACTTGCTGTGGAATTATTAGGAGAAGAATCTCTTTTGTCTTTCTCTTTTCCCATTTTATCCGTCACTGGAAAACGTGTCATACAAAACTCAAACTTTATGTTGTATTTCTGTTTTCATATAAATAAGGAACTGGAATTGTTGATTTGTTGCATGGTCAGTAGCATTTACAATTTGATTCTTGCAGTAAAAACTTTGTTACATTTGTATACAGATGAACTTTTTTAAATGAACTCTGTAGTACTAAGTAACTTAACTAAGTCATTAGATTGTCATGTAAAATGAGGTATCAAAACACTGAACCTCAGGTACTACTTAAATGGTCTCCAAGTACATGGTATTCAGCACAAGGACTTTGTTGCTGTTCAACACTAAAACAAAAAATCAGTTGTGAAGTTCAAATCAGGACTAACATTTGTATTCTAAATTCTGAGATTTTTTTTGAATCTGGGTATATTTCTCATATTCAGCTCTAGCAGAAGACATTCACTTATGAGACTTTTATAGATTGCTGTTGCTTTTATAGATGCCTGAAGATGTTCAAAGAATTAATGGCTTTGCAAGGTACTGAAGCATCTCTTTGGAAAGCAGAGGAACAAGTAGCCACTGTATAATTGAAAAAGGAATCTGTCTTCCTGAGGAAACCTTTGTTTGAAACCAAACTCACAATGAATTAACCAAATAAAACTCTCCCATAAGTCTTTAATTAGAATGCTCTCTATCTGAGTAGGAACAAAAAGCAAATCCATCCAATTTAAGAGGCAGGCAGAATCTTAACAACAGAATATTATTTTCTGTGAACTGTACTCCTGTCTCAGTGATCCTGAAGACCTCAATATTGCACCTATGAGAATGTCAGTGTAGTACCTTCAGTTCATAAAGGCAGCAAATCTGTCAAATATAGTCATTACTTGGTTGCCTATGATAACAAGGATGAGATGAAATGAGCAAAGAAATCTGCTTTTTTTTTTTTTATGTTCCTAAGTGATATTGCCTCGACCATTTTGAGGATTCCCTGAAGGCTGGTGCAGTCTTGTCCTAGTTTAGGCTGGGATAGAGTTAATTTTCTTATTAATTTTCTTATTTCTTATTTGCAGTGTATGCTCCCTGTTGGAATTTACCACCTGTGGGAACAGGGCTATGGTTATCATGTTGCCGTACTTTGTAACACTGGCTTATGATATGACAGAGCTGTCTGTAATGAAACCAGTCTGGTATTTGTACCCAGCATTTCTGGGGTCTCTATACTTTGGGAGACATCAAGCTGCAACTACTAATACTTGCACTTTTAAACTTTTCTCCTCAGAGGCTCAGCCTATGGAGGAGACATTCCCACAAGTTTAGTGGGAATGGGGAAACACCGTCTGAGAACTTGGAAATTTCTTAATATCATTGAGTTATTGAAACCGACATGAACCTATTGCTAGGAACTAAGATGCTTTGCTGAAGGAGTTCCAGAGCTTTTCTAAGGTTTAACAATGTTTAAGAATATCACCTAGCAATCTGCCCTAGGTTGGGTAACTATGAGTGGTAGTGTACAAGGGATAGAGCAGGCATGTGCCTAGGGCTGGATACCTTCAATATTTTGGAACTCTACCCCTGAACAAGTCCAGAATCTCAAAAACTAGTAAAATATTTGGAAAAAATATGCTGTCACTCTGGCAATTCCAGAAAGACACAAATCACTGCAAGGTGCTGGGACCTGACCTATGCCCACCAAGCCTTCTTCAATACCATTCAATACTCTCAAGGGGAAAAGGAGGTCTCTGCATCTGAAAACACAGTGACAGACACTGCAGCTACTGCATGTCCTATGGCAGACACTGTGGTTACTCCAGCCCTGGCAACAGGCACTGCACTGAACGAGAGAACCAGCCCATGCCATTATAATTGCCCTGATACAAAAGAAAAAAATAACAATGAAAGCCAGCCTGTTTAGTAGATGTGGATGAAGCAGGACCACCAGTAGAAAAGGAGGATGAGGCAGAACAAGAGGTAGCTACTTGATCTCTATCCCTGAGTGAGTACAACTCAAAAAGATTTCAGCCATCATCCAGGTGGGTTCATTATGTTTTATGACCCAGGCGGATTTCATTATTATTTTATTTCTATTATTAAAAAGTTCCTATCAAACCCCACAGGTTTTGAATTATTTCTGATCATCCTCCCCTTCCCGCCAGGGTGTGTGTGTCTATCAGTGAGAGTGGCTGTGTCTTAGCCCCTTAGCTGCCATCTGAAATTAAACCACAATGGCCTCCAAAATTGCAAGACTAGTATGAGATCGAGCAAGTTCCATTAGAACCCCAGGATTTGCTGAGTTTGTGGTAATGAACACTAAGAAGGAAAGTATATTTTCATAATTTCTTAAATATGAAAATGAAATACTTGTAGAAATTCTGTTTCAAAGTGATCTCTGAGAGGTTTTAGATTCTGACTACTCATGTAAAGCTCTAGATCAGGTTAACAATGACCTTGTTCTGCAGGTCCTTGAAAATCTCAAGGATGGTAATTATGCATCCTCTCTGGGTAATTTCTTCCCTTGCAATCCAGCTTCCTGACTACCTCTTTTGCCCCAGCATCTATCCTAATCATGCATAAATGATAAGTGGCTTTTGCATCTCTTTATACTGTCTTTAGTGAGAAGAGTAGGGCTTCATTGTCTTTGGAACTAACCCCTCTGTATCTCCACATCCCTCCTGAGGTGAAGAGCCAAAAGTATCCACAGTATTTCAGGTATGGCATCAGCAATGCTGAGTGGAAAAAGCTGATCTTATCCTCCAGTCTGCTTGTTATGCTGTCCCTTTGTGTTACAGGCATATAGTCCATAGCAGTTCTATACAATCCCCTAACATCCCCATATCACATAAAGTCCTTCACAGTCTAGTGTGTAGTTTCTTTTACTCAGATAAGACTGCTGTGTGGATTGATGTTTAACCCTATATCCACCAAAGCTCCACATTCTTTTACAGCAGGGCTGATATTCAGCCAGCTGGTTCTCAGCCCACAGTGCTGCAGAGGGTTACCCTGAACACATAATTTTCCACTTTCCCTTCTTGAACTTCAAGATTTCTATTGGCACAGTCCCTGTTTTACAAGGAATTATGGATTGATTCTCTGCTTGCTGTGCCAGCTACTTCCCCTACCAGCTGGTAGCTCATTACTATTGGCATTCCTCATGGGTCAGTACTGGAACTGAGAGTGTTTATTATCTTTTTTACCCATCTTGGTGATGAGACGGATGTACATCAGTATGTCCATGAATTGTGGTCAGCTGTTACTGCACTGGAGTGTACTGCAGCTACTCGGCAACCTCAACAGACTGGAGTCGTGGGCTGACAGGAGCCACATAAAGTCCATAAAAAGCAAATGCAGAATCCTGTACATGAAGTGTAAGCAACACGCAACAAGCAACAGGCAACTTGCTACAACACAACTGTGCAGAAGTGGGCAGAGTGTTACTCAGGAAGAAGAGGCTGAGTTTGAGTTAGGAGTGACTTAGACAAAGAAGGCCAGCCACATACCAAGCGGGGAGGGATTATTCGCTTCTATTCAGCACATGTGGGAACACACTTGTATTACTATATTCAGTTTTTCTCTATATTTAATGGATGCGTACACAGGGATTTTCCACATCAGACTAATTTTTCCAGTCTGTTGAAGCAATGGGAGAATTAACAAGGCAGAACATCCAGATCAGCCTGCTAAACACATTTACACTCACTTTAACCCTGAATCTCTCTCTCTCTGGTGCTGTTTCCCCAAAACAGCAGAAAGATCCCTCCAGACAGAGCCAAGGGCATGTTTTTGGCATTGAATAACATGTTGTCAAGATGAATCTATTACTGTTACTGGAAATTACTCCTCAGTCAATATTAGCGGACATTAGTGTCATATCTCATCAGATGGTGTAATTTCAGATTAAGTCTTTATTTTAGTTTTATTTTAGTTCTGCCCCTCAGTGGGTGCAAGTGTTATCTAAGTGATAACTAAAAAGCTGCAAATGTTTGGCATTCTGCTTTCTACCCTTGAAGAATATTTTGCAATCCATTGTGACAAAGCAAGACAGATGACCATAAAAACTTCCACGTCTTGTGAGGAATTTATGGGAGACCATAACAACAGTACCATACTTGTTATGGGCGACCATAACAGCAGTATAATTTCAATTACCAGAACTGAAAATTCATCCACAGGAAACAGTAAAAATAGTCACTGGAACTCTTTAGTACCAGAATTCCTCTACTCTGCAGTGCTTCAGTACTTTAAGACAGGTGGTTTAAGACTGGTGGTTTAAGGAGTAGCACAATCATAAATATCACATACTTACAGGTCACTACCCCCATTATATATTATTTGATGGTCCTTTTTGGCATTTTTTTTGCTCATTTTTTTCTTTGCTTGTTGTGAAAAAGGGATAGTACAAATGAAATGAAATGTTATGCAGGTAGAACTGAATGGATAACTAAAACTCTTGATTTGCTTCTTCATTTTCCCAGTCACTAGAACATAACATTGCCTAAGACTGACATTCTATTAGAACTAAGTTCTTTAATAAACACTAGGAATATATAAGTTCTTGTCTGTTATCCTGTCACTGAACTATCACATCTGAGGTTTCTTTCATTGCCACTGGCAATAGTTTCTATCTTATGGTCTAATGAAAGGTCATTTTTCTTCAATAGACCACACTTCACCTGTAAATACACATTGATACATGATATTTTATCACCTGTTTTAGGTGTTCTGGTTATAAATGACAGAATTATTAATGTCTGTGAAATTAATGACTATCCTGCAAAATATAACCAGAGTAGAAGAATTTAAGGATTTGAAGCAGGTAGTTGTAGAAAGAAGTAGTCTCCCCTGAGCCTCCTTTTCTCCAACTTCAGCTCTCTCAGATGCTCCTCACAACACTTGTGCTCCAGACCCTTCACCAGCTCCATTGCCCTTCTCTGGACATGCTCCAGCACCTCAGTGTCTTCTCATTGTGAGGGACCTGAAACTGGGCACAGCACTCAAGGTGTGGCCCCACCAGTGCCTGGTACAGGGGAACAATGCCTGCCCTGCTCCTGCTGGCCACACTATTGCTGGTACAGGCCAGGATTCCATTGGCCTACTTGGCCACCTTGGCTCATGTTTAGCCAGTTGTCAATCAACATTCATAAACACCCTTAAAACCATGACTTTATTTTCTTTCCAAAAATATTTCTGAGTAACATAGTTAGATGGACCATAGATGTTCTGAGCAGTGGTAAAACTGTGTGTCACTCTTGCACATAGCATTAATACTTCTAAAGGTCTGTATATAATTGAAAGAAATAAATTCTTTGTTATCTAAAGTACTGTAGTGTATGAGATACACTTAGAGAACAGGTCTTTGCAACATGTTTATCTGTGCTAGAGTTTTATGGCTGTCACTAAAATGTCAGCCACTGATCCAGTGGCTATATTATCTGAGATTCAATTACAGTGGATCAATGTTGCATTTTTAACAATAACCTTTGTAGCATGCTGAACAGAGCTGGAAATGCATCTTACACCATATACCTAGTAGCAATCGACAGCAGTGGTACTGCTAACATATACAAATGAGAAAAGTTTCAGAAACGCTTCAGAATCAACTTCCAAATGGCTAAGAAACTTTGAGCACTAAATTCTGTCCCAAAGAAATAAATTTAAAAAGTAGAGTTCGAAAATTTCTCAAACACTTGCCCATATATTTTCATTTCCATACATATATTCAATCACTCACAGAAAGATCCTGATTTTTAAACAGAAGACAACCCTTTTTATTCAGCCACACCTTGATGTAACATTGAAATTTTTTCTTCTAGCAGTTCCCACAGAAGAAGTCTGGTTACTCCAAGGAACACAATTCAGTATTTTCACACTTTTAGTTGCAGGTTTATTTCTTTCTTGATCTGACTGGAAAAATGAATCACAGCATTAAGACTTGCATTCAGTTTTTGTTGCAGGGTGGATGACTGATGACAGAAAAATAATTCTTTTCTTTCAAAGATGAATAGTAACAGGGTTTTACATTAGCCATTAATTTCCACTGGTGATTTTGGGCACAGACTGTATGTTATCGATAGCCAGTAGTGGACACATAGTCCTCATTGCAAGGCCCAAGCATTGAAGCATCATTATGATGAGAAATTGAAAATTCTCATGGTTTCAGAGAGAATTTCACACAGGTTTAAAAGAGTAGTGCCAGACCATATTGTTTTTTCCTGATTTGTGTTTTTTCACAAAGCTTTGATGGATCTATTAATTTTGTTATTTATTTTTATATATGAAAATTTTCTACAATACATAAATAGAGTCTGCTGCTCTTTCCTATTCTCATGTCCTGTTGTCTTCATCCCTGAATAGCTAAGGAAGATAAGAAATAGGAAAAATAGAAAAGAAGCATTTGTGGTGAGAACCTCCCATGTATTTTGGATTGTTTAATTTTGGAATTAAAAGCTGTGAGTGTTATAGTGTCTCAACTTATTTGTATGTATGGATTTATGTATGCCATTCAGGCCTTTCAAAGCAAGGTTGCAACTGTTGCATACTCAGAGCTTTCTTCCTCCGACCCTTACTCTTTGTGACTCATACTGACATAACATTGTTATAGAAATAGTAACTGTAGTCCCTTTTTACAATAATGATTAGATCAATCAGAGGAAAATGATTAAAAGTTTTCCAAAACTTTTTATAATCAGGGATCACCCTTCCTTTCTAACCTTTCCTGTGGTCATTTGATCAAAGCCACCAAAACTGTGGTGTTCTCTTTCACAAAAATAAAAAAGATAGCATTTCATTATATGTCTCAAACTGTTCAGCTGTACCTGAGCACCCCTATAATCCCTATAATCCCCTATAATATATATGAGATATATTAAAGATAATGTAAAATGAGAACTGGGTTAATATTGATGGTGGTAGGCAGGTGTCATCGGGAACAAAACACAACAGGATTTATGGATAGTATGTCAGCCCTTGTGCTTAGGCAGAAATGTCTCCACCTTTTCTCACTAGGCTATCATTTGTCATCAGACTAAGATACTACCTTCTGACTCTAAACATCTCCACAAATCAGTGCAGATGATTAGTGGTCACAATGGTCACTAAGTGCTTGTACACACTTTCCCACAGTGCTGCAGAGTGACAGGAACCGCAGCTGAACACGTTTGTGCAGGCTCAGGTAAAGGCCCTGTATTTACACAGAGGGGCTGTGCCAGTGTATCATGGGGAAATCATTCTCTCTCTCTCTGAAATATTAAGTAGATAAGAAAGCTAAAAGTAGGCAGTCCAGTGAATACATGGATTTTCAGGCAATGTGTTTTATGTAAGTTTAGTGGTAGACTGAAAAAACTGGGGCAAATAACCCCTAGTATTTCATTCAAGTTTGCTTTCATTTTCAGTGAGAAGGTGTTAAAAGCTTTAATTCTTATGCTGGTGCAGTGCCTTGTATTTCTGGGTGTAGTCATCAGTACAACTTTAAAATTGTATTATTTGCCAGAGGATTATCTAAGGGCTACAAATCAAGGATAAATTAATATTTTCTCATTTCACCCAGTTAAAAGGGATAAAAAAGTATGGTGTAAGGAGTTTTCAAAGGCCTTCTTTGGGGTCTGTTCAACTCTGTAAACATAACCTGAATTCCAGGATGATTTAAAGTTGCTTTCACATCCTCTGCCACAGAAGTCACAACTGAAAGTTCATGCAAACCTGGGCTGCAGAGCCAGGTCTATTATAGATGGCATTCCTGCTGAGTGGGAAGTTTGTGCATTTTCTCCTCAGGCTTCAGAGATTTTCACCTCTTCTTTCCCCAATGACTCACAGACTGCTGGGAAAGCAACTTGAGTAAGAAAATACTGCAGAGCTAAATGAGCTGTTTGAACCTTCTCCTGCCAAAAGGAAGATATGCCACTAAATCCAAGGGGTATATATCTCCTAGGGGTCTGTGCCTTAAAACATGCAGGACACTCTTTCTCAGGAAGGAACAAATTAACCTCTTCCTCCCTTTAAGTACTCAAGTGAAGAGAAAACCTTTAATCTGATTGGAAATCTACATGAAATTAGTGATGAGTTTGAGAACTTAGGCTTGATAGAGGTAAATACTAAATAACTAAAGTGTACATAGAGATAGTTCTTTCACTAAATTCAGACAGCTGAAGTTTCACAAACAGACTTGCCTGGTATAAAAGTTTGGAATTGAGCCCAACATCTTTCCTCTCACCATACAAGTTACAAATTTGACAGTAATGACCAGGATAATCAGCACGCACATTTTAACATTAATCTGTCATTTACGTCTATGTAGATAGCTCCTTTTTTTACTGTAAAAGCCAATGGGAGAATTATATCTCTAAATGTCTAATCTGAGACATATGGCCTCAGCCAAAGTGACATTTAATTCAAGCATCATTCTTCACTGACATTGCTCACAGAATGCAATGGTACTCAGTTTATGAAAGAGACAAACAGATCAAGTCCTCCCAAATTAGCTAATTCCCTAAACTGAGCTCATCTTTAAAAAAAAAAAAATTTAAAAAAAAAAAAAAAAAGAGCTGTGCCCTGGAGATTTCTGCAAACTTTAACAAATACACAAAAGAGAAGTAAATTATTTCAAAGTAGTCACACTTTAGGCTGATGTTTGCGTCCAGTTTCTAGCTATCTGCAAAAATGTTAATCTAATTAACTGTTTGATTCCCTGTCTTACTCCCCATCTCCTCTTCCTCCTTCTCACCACCAACACCACCATCGCCAAGTGTTTATTAGGAGGACAAATAATTCTGAATTGTTCATTTCTGAGTAAAATTTATACTTTTGCTACTTACAGATGGAGCACTCTCTTGTGCTTCAAGAAGCCACACTTGACATGGAAAAATCAAAGTTTGCTGCTAGAGAGCTCTTAGGTTAACTTGGTCAAATCATTAAGCTTTTCTTGCAGAGAACATTGAGACAGACACATTTGCTTTGCTAAGTTCATCTTAGTAAATATTGGTTTCAAAATTTCACAAGATCAAATGGATGTCAGTGACTGCTCCGCTACAAATGTACATCAAATATACCAGCTATACCTACTTCTCTTTTACTTGTAAGCCTATCCAAGCTGCTTCTTACTTGTTGGCCTGTGGAATGTTTCTTTTCTTAGTCATTAATTAATTAGGTGTAGAAAGATCCCAGTCAAAAAATATTGCCATATAATAAAGTGTCATGAATACTTAGTAGGAGTTTCTGCATCATGTTTGTAGAGAAATTACAAAGAAGGTTAAGAGAAAAAGAAACACACGCACCCACATCTAAACCTGATATGCACTGCTCTGACAAGGCATATTTAGAACAGGTTTTTCTGGTGTCTGAGACACCCCTTTCATTTTCACAGTGGAAGGAGAATTATGCTTTCTGCAGGTTCAGTGGAAGAGGATGATGTCACTTGTAAGAGGCATTGTAAAACCAACAGTAATTATTCATCTTTGTGCCATGATTCAGCCTTCTTTCGAAATACACTTCTTTTTAAAACAAAGACACAAACAATGCTGTATATACATCTTAAATCAGAGCTTCTTTATGTAAAACATACACAGCGTAAACTTCCTCTGGCAATTGGTAGAAATCTCATAGACTTTCAAAAGCAGAAAGAGAAACTGTATGCATACTTAATTTTATTCACAGTACTTAATCAGGAGCTTTATTAAGTGAGGCATACATTTTTTGTACTTCCCTTGGGCACAGTAGTGTGTTTCTGAGGATCCTAATAAGGGTCAGAATGTCTTTTCTTCATCAGATGTTCATAAATTACTTTCTAATGCTTAGTTAACACTGTAATTTCTTTATTATAGGAAAACACAGAGATTTTAAACTTTCTATGCTGAATGACAGGATCCTAACTTTTTCCTTGGAATGAACCATTAGGAGAACTGAACTTCAACCCCTGCCTCACACATACTAGTTGTAACTTGAGATTTCATTCAAAAACTCATCTTGCCAATCAAAATATAGTCACTGGGGTCAAGCACAAAAAGAAAAGAAATTGATGTGAGAACCCAGAGTTCAACAGAAGTTATGTTTATAGAAGCATTCTTTTGGCCTTGTTTGCTCATTCTATAAAATTATGTATATAAATACTTAATGCCCTTGTGGACTGTTGTAAACTTCTACATTTGAAGAAGATGTCATGTACTACATCTGATTTCTAATTAATTTTTAAATTTAAATATGAATATCCATGTCCTTTTAGAATGGGCAAGAAAATATAGTTAGGTTACTCTTATATACAGACCTTATGTGTAGTTGCTAACAAATTATCTAACAAAGTTTACTTGTAAATGAGCATCAAGATATTCTATTTAAATTTCAAGACATGTTTCTGCTATTAAATGAGATTTTTTTTAAATGCCTGATTTAATGGAAATGCAGCAGTCAGGTACATTTAGGGTAATAAGAGCATGACAATTACAATGGCTGTGCAGAAATGCGGAGATTTTCAACATAATCTAGATATTCCTTCCCGAGTATGTATTTCAAATTACAATATATTGTGAATATATGCCACTTTTTAAAGCTATATTGCAGTTAATTTTTGGCAAAGAAACTTAGCTGCTAGCATTTGCCAATTTTGCTATTACAGGTGCAGTATTTTTATCAACATTTTCTACAAGATTTGGTGGAAGTTTGGTCTTACACTTGCAAGTACAGCCTGCAGGTTTGAGATGGGCACTTTTATGAGGCTTCAGAAGGCCTAAAATTCAGGAAGAAATGTGATTATAAGCAGAAGGATTGAGGATTAGCAGGCAGGGTTTCATACCATTTATTTACTAGAACAGAAAGTACAAAACAAGAACATATTTGCAAACATTTACCTGACAATTCTTTTCCCAGTATATTTAATTAAAATATTGATGGACTTTCAATGTGGAAAAAAAAATCAGCCAATGATATTGCACTGCCTGATTGTCAGCCTCTACAAGCAATTAAACACCCATTGTACTTACAGACATCAAGCTGTGAAGAAGGTGCTAAGAAAACTGTCAGAAGCAATGACATTTACCTCAGAAACACACAGTGGAGTAGCTTTAGACACAATTCAGTCCCTTCTAGTTTCATCTTACAAATTAAGAAAAACACTGTTCATTTATTTATTCCTGAATATGATTTGTTTTTGTTTACAATAAATAGCCTTTCTTTAATCTTAGAAAGTTGCAAGGGGCAAATTCAGTAATTTTTGCTTTCATTTGCTTTGATATGAGACTCTGTATCAGGGTTTGCTGGCAGAAGACACACTGCATCTACTTTTTAAAATGTGAGACTTAAGACCAGGGTTTGAGGACATTTTTTCACAAACAGTAAAATGAAAACCCAATCTCCCAGAAACTGCAGAATTCAGGTAAACCTGTGAGAGTATTTTCAGCTCCAATAGAAGGGGAAAGGATATTGAAAATATGGAAGTATTAATTTTTTCTAGATGGTTGAAATGCTTTGATGGTCATCCAACAACAAAACTTCTCAACAATTCTTTGATAGCAAAAAGAATTTTCAAAATTACAAGCTACTTCATATTGGATAATAAAAAAATGTCAGAAAGGTGACCTGAAGAAAGCTGTCTGCTTTATTTGGTAGATATTTTTTTCTGCAATTTTTTTTTTTTTTTTTTTTATTCAGCATGAAGTGTTTTCCTGAGCTGTTCAATTTGTCTCTTGCACCAAGGGCCATTTTTGGCTGGCCACCACAGTATTCTCCTCCTGTGTTTAAAGTGCCTGTAAGAACACAGATGGACATGAGGCTTCAAGGACAAACATAGTACTGTTTCACCCAGAGGTTCTTTT